AGATAAAATGGTGCGCCGTAGTACGAACTGTACGACAGTTAGACAAACTGAGCAGCAGCAGTAGTGATAAGTGCTTTGACCAGCCAAAGACTGCTTTAGATGTATTTGGAAGGTGGTGGTGGTAATGTAATGTAACGTTCAACAAGAGCTAAGCTTATCAGAGAGCTTTGCAGTTGAGAGCCTCTGCTGCAAAATTTCTTTCTTGGGGCTAACAGCAACAACTACTGCTAGTTACTACATTACACATGTCTGGGTATGTACAGATGATGATGATGATGATGATGACGACAAGAAGATGAGCATGAACATGAACATGAAACGAAATGAAATAACCAGAAGAAAGACCAGACGATAAGGCGGTGAATTAATCGATCGATCGATCAAAAAGCTGATCAATCGGATCTCAGAAGAAATCAGACGCATTTGGCCGCTTTTTACTGCTGCTGCTGCTGCTGCTCGACTGATTACGCCTTGCTGACGTTGTTGAAGAAGAAGAAGCTGAAGTTGCTGATAGGTTGACAGTCCTCCTCTGTTGCTGCTGCTTCGTCGTACCTGGCGTGAGATTACTGCTCAATGCTGACGGCGAAGGAGTGACCAGCGGGTGAAGGAGCTGTGGCGTGGGAGTTCTGCCCAGGCCGCCACCGCTGCGAACCGAGGGTGACATCATCGGGGAGTAGCTCGCCTGCAGCGACCGGTCGGCCAGCTTCGCCAGGCCGAGCTTCGATGTGGCCAGCAGCTGGGCGGCGGGCGACATCGAGTGCAGCCGCTCCAGACTGGTTTGGCCGAAACCGGTGCCACNGTGAGATTACTGCTCAATGCTGACGGTGAAGGCGTGACCAGCGGGTGAAGCTGTGGCGTGGGAGTTCTGCCCAGGCCGCCACCGCTGCGAACCGAGGGTGACATCATCGGAGAGTAGCTCGCCTGCAGTGACCGGTCGGCGAGCTTCGCCAGGCCGAGCTTCGAGGTGGCCAGCAGCTGGGCGGCCGGCGACATCGAGTGCAGCCGCTCCAGACTGGTTTGGCCGAAACCGGTGGCAGCACCAGCAAATACATTGCTGATAACACCACCTCCGATGCTGTTGTTGCTGCCGCCTTCCCCAGCTGCCTTATCCGCCGTCTTCCTCCTCTTCTTCGTCATCAGTATTCGATTGGCCAGCTCCTGACCTGCTTTCTCGCGCAACGGCAGCTCGGGCATGCGAAACTGGGTGCTGCTGCTGCTGGGCGTCAGGTCGGGCCTGGTGGTAGTAGAAAGCGGCGTCACATCGCCGCGAAGCTGTACCGGTGTACTCTCAATCTCGCCTGAAAAAGAAAAAAGGGAGAAGAGGGAAAATGTCCTCGATTAGATAGGTGCTACTGATAGGCTGCTGCTGCTGATGAGCAATCTCAAAGGACGCAAAAAGTTGTCGCTGGATGAGTAGAGCGATTGGAGATAGGAGTGCACAGGAGTGCACTGGGTACTGGGAGGTTGATAAGGGGAAAAACAAGGCAGCAACAGCAACAGCTGCTGCAGGCATGAAATGGCATCGATCACGGACGATCGATCGACCGATCAGGAGTCCTAAGAGTGCAAGGGAAAAAAGAGTGCAAAACCCAACTAACAAAATTATTATTTTTGTACTCACCCCACGTCATCAGCGGCGACTCGGGAATGCCGCTGCCCGGCGTTAACGTCGGCGTGCTGGCCACGTACTTGAAGCCGTTGACGGCGGGCGTCGCCCCGCCGGCACTTGCCTCCTTTCCGTCGACGCCAATCTTGCCGCTGAGGAGCGCCTGGTTCTGTTTGTTCGTCGTTGGATTGCCGGCCACCGGAGTTTGCCTCGGGAGAACACTGAAAGGCCTCGCCCTGAAGCGGGTGTTCTCATGTCTGATCACCGGCTGGGACAGCTTCAGGCGGGCCGACTCTTCGGTGGTCAGCGGGGCGCCCTCCGGGTCGAACATGACGGCGTTCCGGGTGGCGTACCGCCAGGTGATCAGTTTGTCCGCCTCGCTGGGACCTTTGTCGTCTGAGATAGAGGCGGCGGCAATGGCGGCCATTTGGACGGTGGCCGAGGGCAAGGCCAGCGCAAGGTCCACCT